AATGTGAATGATAAAACAAATAGAAACATTTCTAATAGAAATCACAAGTGTCAAACACAATAACCATGTTATATATATATATATATATATATATATATATATATATATATATATGTATATATATATATATATATAGAAACACAACAACCCTTGACTGACTATTCAGATTCAAATTTTACTTGGATGTGTGGATTCAAGAAAATTCACATTTGGATACATTTTTCTTTTGGTTCGAGGAGCATTCTCATGAAAAAGTGCAAAACAATCCGTGATTGCAACTTCTACCATGGAGGCTGAATTTGTGGCATGCTTGAGACTACAATTCATGGAAAAGGGTGTTAATTGAACATATTGGTACAAACTTAATGATACCATATCCGTTAACTAAAGATTTACCATCCAATACATTCATTGGTCATGTTGAAAGAATGTGTATAATGGATAAGTGTTTGTTAACAATGTAGTTTAGTGCATATATATAAAATATGATTGTAATGTTTGACACTTGTGATTTCTATTAGAGATTTTTTGTTTGTTCTGTCATTCACATTAATTAGTATACATTATTGTTTTATTTAGTGAAATAATATAATTAATAATTAATGTATCTTTGAAAGGAGATTAAAAATATATTATAGTTTTATTAAAGTTAAGTTAGATTATTTGTGATGCATGGAAGAAATCTTGTTATTGGATAACTTGCAACTATTATGATCCAATCTTTTAGTTGAAGTTAATGGATGATAATAACTTGTTAAGTTTAATGTATGGTGTGCACTTAAAATTTAATATTGAATCTTCTCTCATTGCATAAGTCAAGTGAGAAAATGTTAGATTATTTTAATATAATATTGACTAATGTAACTTCTAGAATAACTTTAATGTAAATGTTTCTAATGTAATAATTATTAGATTATAAATGTATTAAAGTTATGAAAATTATTTTAGAGTTATTAAAATGAATTCTCTTTCTTCTCACTTCATTAAGAGTATTATAATATTTTAATAAATCTTTTAAAATATCATCTAGAAGTTACATGACAATTTCTTATAAAATATTAAAAGTATTTATTTTCCTAAACAATATAAGACAAGTGACTTTGAGAGAAGAAAGGGTGTAGTGGACATTTTATTTCATCAAGAAAGTCATAAAAGGAAGAAAGAAAAAGAAAAATATCCATAAAAAAATCTTTTGTAATGGATTCTAGTAAGTTTTTTTGAACATTTCTAATAATATATTTGTGAGAATCATAGATCCTAAAATTCCTCTCAAATAGAATAGTTTCTTGAATTGAATTAGAATATTTGAAATTACAAAAAATTACTTGAAAATATGATTAACTAAAACTTTTGTTAAGGTCTAACTAAGCATTTAACTTATCTGTTAACAAGGGAAATCAAACAAAATTATATATATTTTGTATTAAGACTAGTCAATTTTTTACAATTGAATTAAAATGAAAAATTAATAATGAACAAATAATGCACTAAAACACAAGTAATATTTTCAACATGATTGATTATGATACAATTAACATACGTAGTTAAAATCCAAATAAAAATTATAAATTTTTAATGAAAATCAATTAATCTTTTGTTAGTGTTTAAAACAAAAAATAAAAAAATAAAAGTATGTTTTACCCTTATTTGTAATACTTACATTGTTATATTTTATCATTTACAAATAATTGCATATGTTGTTTGAATTAGAGATATATAAATAAAAATGATTCTTTTATAAAAAGTTGTGACTCTTATTTTGGGATAAAATTAAAATTATATAAATTATATTAAAAAACATTGAATAAATTACATAAATATTTCCTAAATTTTACCTCATTATATTGATATTTTTTTTTATAATTCTACACAAATTTTCTTTTAAAAAAATATTACATTGTTTTTTCTTTTTACTATTCATATTCACCTTAACGATTTAAAAACAGTACATATATTTTAATATTATTGTAACGATTATGAATGTCAACAGTTTAATTAGTAAATTCGAGAAATATGTTAAGTTAATAAAAAAATTTGTAATGTACATGAAATTTATTTTAATCTAATCTATTTAGACTATGAACTTAGGTTAAATAAGTTTTAAATTTATGAATTAACTCATTTTACAAAATAATAATAATAAAATTTTAAATAAAAATGATATTATTTTATTAAAAAATACATGTATTATTAATTAATTTGATAAGAAAAATATCTAACATTTACTTGTTTATGAATTATTATTTTATATAAATAAATCAATAAAAAATAAATAAAAATAACAAAAAGAGTATTTTTTTAATTTTTATTTTAAGACTAAATAAATATATATTTTATAATTTTTATATTAAATTATTATATTTAAAATAAAAATTAATTATATTAATATAATTTAATTTTTTAAAATATATTTTTAATTTTTATTTGAATATTTTTTAATTATTTATTTTTATATAGACATATTAATAAAAAAATTTCAATTAAGTGGAAACAAACGTATTAATTCCTTGGTCCATAGGTCAAAAATAAAAACTCGTTTAAAATATAAACTAGATTAAGCTAATTTTTTTTACTTTTCTTATAGGATCAAATTAGATGACTTGAATTATCCGTGACAATTCTAATAATAATATAAAAAGATAAGTATAAATATAATTTATAAGGAAATTTAATCTAATTTTCTATGCGATGAAGTATTTAATAAAGTACTTATAATGTTTTGTTAGTTTATTATATTAATCATAACATCATTAAAAATGTTATCCTTAAATATTGTTAATCTTAAAAAAAATACAGCTTTGTCTTAAAAATATTATTTACAAAGAAATGTTTACAATAAACTTTAAATCGATAACAAATATTTTAAATTCATTTACTATATATTAATTTTTTTCTTCAAATTTGCAAACACATGATATTACCTATAGTTAATTCGGTTGCACAATCTTGTTAGGTTTTATATTTTATTCACATAACTATTTACAATTTTAATTCTTTAAATTTCTATTGAGTGAATCAGGATTTTAAGTACTGTAGTACTGACACTAGTATTGTTTTATGTTGTCTTAAACTAATATCGATGTGACTTAATTATAACTAATATTGAATAATATATTAATAATATCTTCAACTCATTTTAGCTCAGATCACCATTAATAAATCATATCATGAGACAGAAAATATAAATAAAATATAAACAAAGAAATTTTAGAACTAACAAATTATAAAACTAAAAATATTAGAATAAATTAGCCTAGGACTTGTTGATGTTTTTTCAAATTACACCGTGCCTCAATTCTTTAAAAATTCTATATAAATCTCTCATTTATTTTAAAAACATTATTTTTTTCTTTTTTACATCATATATATCTTTTTTTACCGTATGTATGTATATCTTGAAAAAAAAAAAAACGTAAGAGATCTAAGTATAATTTACTGTTACATTTAATCATAATTTTAAAAATTTACACTAATTTTTTATTATTTTTTCCTTAATTTTAAAAATAGAAAGTTGTTGACTCGACGACGTGAACTGGTTGTGAATTCACAAATTTAGTCAATGGATTTGAATTACTCAGTCTGATTAGGCTAAGAAGGTGGATTAAACGTCTATAGCCAACTAAAATCACATTACAAACGCACGCAGCACACTGTTGCTTTTAGAATAAAATACAAATAAATACATTTAATATTAATTTTGACGATATGTTTTAATATTTTGTATAAAAAATTGACAAATTTATCCATTGACTTATATAAATAACTCTTGATCATCTATACTAAATTTTAGATAGATTAAATATTTGCAAATATAACTTTATAGCCAATATATTCTTATATTTCAGAAAGATTGTTATACGTTAAGATAAAAATAAAATTAATTGATGAAATATAAAATAATCTTTAAATTATTTGAAGTTTTGTAATTTTAATTTAGTTGCTCAGAATTCTCAATCTGATAGAACTTATTGACACATAGTTAATTAAAACTAAAAGAATATCAAACAATGATGGTGGTTAATCTGGTTACCGTAATTCTTGATTCCTGGTTACTTTATGTTCATCTTTATTCCCATGAAGGAAAAAGTTTATCTTTATGGTGTAAACGAGGTCCAAAAAAGGATGAAGAAAGCAAGTGATGACCAAAGTGAAATGATTGCTGCATGCATGGTGGACAAATGAAATCTAGAATATCCCACTTTACAGAGACAATGATTTACAAGTCAACCTAAAAGGAGGTTAGTTTGTCTCAGACTCAGCAGAGTCATGGTCAATATATAACATCAACATCTACAATAAATTCTAAGCCCCCACCATTTGACGTTATCCCCAAGACATGGTTTTGTGCTCCAAAAGGGGTTTGTTAAAAAGTACATAAATCATAATTGTTTTTGCTTGGTGCTCATATAGCCAAACTTTGTCTCAAAGAAGTGGCCATCATACTGAGAACAAAGGGGTGCAATGTTATTTATGCTCAATAAGGTGCTCTTTTGGCAAACTTTTTCACATCATATTGAGAACAAAGTGTTGTATTATTATGCTTTGTAGATAAAGTACACTATAGCAAACATGTATAGAGTTACATATAATCATGCATGAGATCAGGATTTGAGTGTTAAGTTGGTTTATGAGAAAGACATTTGTCAGGAGAAATCAATTTTTTAGATAAATATATACATGTAACTCGACTAGAAGTATTGCTGATAAAAAAAAAATTAAGAGTAAACATCTGATATGATTTCCAATACTATCAATAAACAGTTTAAAATCGCAACAATATCATTATGATACGCATTACAGATGGGTGATAAATAGGTCAAAATATAGTTGAATAGTTTTTCTTGTCCAGTGACAATGAAAAATATGTTTTTCTCTCCTTTATTTTGTTCTTCAAATCAGCAGCATGAAATCAGCAAGGTCTTTTCATTGCAGCTCTAAAAAATTTAGTTACAGGAAGCATTCAGCATTCAAGGAATGCAACTGTTTTCAACATATAATCACTATTTATCAGTTTTGACCCGTTTTATTTCATTAGAAGTGAATGGAGAGACACTACCACTCAGTTGAGGACTCTCTTCTCTGAAATTGGAATTGGAATTAAGCATAGCAAGTTCTCTTAGTTGTTGTCTTTTGTAAATGTCTTGTGACTCATCCTGCACATTAAAGGGGAGTTGAATCAGAAACACTTCCTTAACTACACATGAGATTCCCATAATGTTACTTTGCCCTAGGGCTTTGCTCATAGAAAATTTGATTAAAAAGAGGGCACAATAAAATAGTCGTAGCACTTCTCCTGGTACAGGCTTCCCTTGAAATATAATTACCTTCAACATCAGTCACACTGTGCTAACTAGAAGAGGTAGCCATGATACAGAGGAAAAAAATTGGAAAAAAATTCATCACAATTTCTGGATTCAATTTAGTCCTTACTTTCTTTACTTTGTTCCCTTGAAATGCGGCTATAACATTAAGTAGGTCCTTCTGATAATTGACCTCACTAACTTTAACCAATTTGGTAACATATGACCAATTGTGAGATCATATAGATAATTGACATGTCTGTCAAAATGAATGCCATAAAAAAAGGATAGAGGGACCAAAATGTATTTTAACCAGGAAAAAAGTTGTGACTAATATATAACAGTTTTCTCCTAACTTTTCTGTTATTCTAAAACAATTAAATATGGACAAGTGAGGAATGATTATTTCTAAGCAGTAATATATCAGGGAAAGGAAATAGGGAGGGAAATCTCATTAATTAATATGTTATAAACTCTGCAACATAGTTGGAAAAGGAGAGAAATACCACTGGTTTAAGTAGTTCTTGTATGACTTCTTGTGCTTGCCTCAACCTTACATCAACAACACTGGCAGGTAGTTCAGCTTCAATTAAAATGTGAAGTGGATCATTCAGATGCTCATAGCCAGGCCTCCCTCTTAACAACTCTTCCTTTAGAGTAATCAAAAGTAAAACAATTTAGAGATCACAAACAACATTTATGTGGACACAACAAAAATAGTCTACAAATTCAGAGGAGAACTATGTAAAATTGATGACAATAAATCTAGGCTCTATGAAGTTAAGGAACAATGCAATAAACTAGAGGATGTTACCTTGTCTAAGTCTTTAATTGAACCTTTCCCTCTGATAAATACACGGCAACCTGTAGTAGCTTCCACTCGCTTTAGTGAATTACCCCTGGGGCCAAGAAGCCGGCCAACAAAATTAAACTGAAAATTAAAATAGAGCCTTAGTAACTCAAAAGACAACAAGATATATAACTAAATAGTTCATCACCTATTATATTGTGAGCAATCACAAATTGTCATGTATTTATACATTAGTTACATTGAAAGTCATACTGGTCATGATATCTTACATTGACTGTGCATAGAAATTAAACTCATAAAACCATCAAAACATCATAAGAATAAGCATGATTTATGGTTTATAGTAAACTGCTATAAAGCATGTTACAAATCTTACATTTGGATAGCTATCCTTAGGAATATCCAAGCGCAATATTTTCTTCACAACGGGAGAACTTGGAACAACCGGTGAAGTTTGCCAATCCATGTTTAGTCCCTGCATACCACCTAACCTCTGATGTATGACAAGTTTAACCAATCAGTAAAAGAAACTAGAGATTATAATGACACAGACACATAAGAGGAATGGTGGTATATGATAGAAAGATATCAAACTGTGTTATAGAACAGAGGTTAAAGCATATACAAATTTCGTAAATAGAGGCATCATTACCACCTTGAACACAAAGGAGAAGAGGGAGTCTAAGTACTTTAGTACCCGAACTGGATAGTTTAAGAATCATATTTCTTACAACAATACATAAATTATATACATCTTATATGTGGGGGTTACAAGAAAAAGTAGGAAATGGAGACTGTGAAGTGGTAGAGAATTTTACATTGAATAGAACATAAAAACTGAGGTACTTACCTCATGTGACAGGCTGTTCCAGCCAGTAAAGTTTGATGTTGAGTTTGGAGAAGCCATATGAGTTGGATTAATGAATCTCATTCTATCGAAGTCACTAAATCCTTGGTTCAGCAATAAATCAGTCTTTCCAGTAACCCTTAAAATCTCTGATAATAAGGAAGTAATAGTGACTATAAGAACTTGTACAAAGACTAGTGAATAAAAAAACATAAATAATATTAATGCAACCTTTCTGATAGTAACTAAACTGTAAATAATGCATAGGAAATAGGAACTGCAGTGAATGTCATCTATATGAACATCTTGATTATCAAAACTGAATGATACAGAAAGCTAGCATTAAGAATAAAACTGATCATTTGAAGCTTTGTTCCAGTCATGCAAAAGACAATGCCTATTTTTTTCCTACCCTGGAGGACGTCTCGAAGGTAGAAAGATTTTTGCATTTGTCTGAAAGGAGGCAATGACTAAATTGCCACCATCTTGTTGTAGCACCATATGTTCTTTTTGTGGGTCATCCAAAAAGTATCATCTAAGATGTTTCCTTTTCATGATTGATCAACAGATAAGAATTCCAGAGAATCATTGGGAAGTTAGCTTTGTAATGTAACTTATAGAAGAGACTAGACATATATGTTTAAACTTCTAATTCCTTAGGCATTTAGTAACCATGATTCGTTCAAGCATTAACTGGTTCAGGCCGGTGAAGCTCAGAAACTGACAATTCAGTGCATTTCAAAGTAGATTAAAGAAAGGTTTCAAAAAAACAGTTCCTGGCCGCAATTACACCCGCAATATTAAGGTTGTTGGAATCTCTACAAACACAATTTTGGATGCATGGTCGCACTTGTCTGCAATTTCTCACAATATTGAGGATACAACGAAACTGCAACCGGAATTTAAAACCATTGAAGAGAAAGAACCTGAAAAACTAGTACGTGTAACCAGAAAACTAATTTTGCTAACGACATGGCCTAATTCAAATGAAGCAATAGAGATCAGTTGAAATGAATGCAAAATAAAGAGAAGATGCACAGAAGAATACTTGAATACATGGATATGGAATAAACGGACCTTGATTGAGGAGTCTGGCACATATGGGTACAACTTGCATGAAAGGTCCAAGCTTTTGGCGTTCTGCTAGAAGCTCCGTTAAGTACTGACTAGAACAAACGTAAATAAGAACATATTCCAAGAAATTAATTGAAATTAATGTACACACATACATATACATGTATTTACATGAAAATCAAAGTTACAAAATAGACGGCAGAAGAATCATCATCTGCATACCTATCAACATCAAAATTGCTTCTCATGTTTATATTTGGTGAATTGGCCCTTTGGGATGAAGGTAAGGAAATCTGATTGTACAAGTTAGACATCAATTCTACAAGGATTTTGGGTTGGTTGCTAGGATTAGACTTTTGAGAAAATTGAAAGGCAACAAGGGAGAAGAAAGAGTTGATCGAGTGAGATTGGATGTGGTTCAAAAATCCTGATATGAACAGAATCACCTAACATAAGTGTTTGAAAGACGAGAGAAAAATGGTCAGGAAAAAAAAAAAAAAACAATAAAGGAAGGTACAAAGCTACAAATAAAAAGGAGGGCCACTTCTGTAGTAGCTCAGTAGTTAAAGCAAGCCTTAAAGGGTGTCACTCTGTACCTCTCTGGGTGTGTTTTAATTGATGTTTTGTTGGCTTGTGTTGCATATGCAAGACTTTATATCATGTTTGTGTGTTTTCCTAATTCCTTAACAAACACAAACAGGTGGGTTTTTTGGTTTACTACAAAACAAAACCGAAAACTCTCTAATCAAACATGTATTAGAGGATTGAACTGATAGATTAAAGGACCAAACAGTCAAAACTACATGAGAAATCTCATCAGATATTCACTTGAATTCATAAGCAAACTGCAGAAGAAAAATTTTAAAAAATGCTAAAGCAATCAATTAGACAGATGAAGCAAAGAAAGAGGCCACCCCAATGACCAATGCGGGTCACCAGTTCTCTGTCTCCAGATCATGAGCATGTAGATTGAAACAAATCACCATCATGCTTCTCACATATAAGAATTTATATTTAGTATATTAGTATTGGTATATATTTATTAGTATTTATATTTATACCTAATAGCATACACATAATAGAATATCAATGAAATGGTATAAAATATTTTTGTTTGTGTGAAGTCTCTGGAAGTTTTACTTAGTCATAAACAGCAACAACATAAACACAGAAAAATATCTTCCAACTGCCTTCAAATCAATCGAAAATTGTAACCTCATTTCCCTACTTTGGTGCTTAGCATATCAAATCTCATAAAGAAGGGAAAAAAAAATATCAAACTATTATTTATTATTATACTGCTATTAATTTTGACAGCTTAATAGCCGCTATTATTGATTACTATAATCAACTTGCTTACATTTATATTCAAATCTGGTTTGTATTAATGTTATGCCATTTGCTTTTTAAACACCTGTCACCCTATTCTTGTCTTACTCCAACCCACCTACCAAAACAATTCTCTCTTGAATGGAATTTTCATGGCCCTCGTTACTAGGGAATCACCCAAACATAATTTTTTTTTTTGACAGATTCATAATAATAATAATAATATTACTAAAGAAAATGAGTCACTTCATTCCTTTGTAATTTTTTTAAAATAAAAATGAACAGGAAAAGTTAAATAAAATCAATTGATTCATGGTAGTTCTAATTTAAAATTAAGAATAAAAATATCTATTCACTAAAATAAGATATCCCGTTATAATAGCTATAAGGAAATAGCATCCAAACAAAATAAAACTTATCACATGCAAGTAAGTTTGAAATATTATAATATAATAATACATTTCCATATCATAGCATATAATAACTATGTTCCTAATATCGTTACTTGGCAATTAATTTGATAGGTATAAAATATAATTTGAAAGTACTCTTACCATTAAAAAAATATATAATTTTTTTTATGTGGCAAAGATGTAATGTGGGAATTCAAATGCCCATTAATTTATTCATGAAAGAAACCATGTTTTTGATATTAGAATAAGAGTTGAGACTGTGAATTTTGTTAGATTCCTTAATGGGTGTTATTCCTCTATTTGTTGTCATCTTTGCATGAGTTGCAAAAGAACACAAATAGAAAGAAATCATGATTCTATTTTGCATCTTTTAATGGGAGAGAAAAAAAAAATGAAGAATGTGTAGATGGCATTGGCATGGTTACCACATCACGTGCGAGAAAATGAAAGCATAGAATGAAATGTAGTTAAAGTTGGTAGGGAAGAAGAAGAAGAAGAAGGAGATAGCTAGGTGATAGCATAGGATTCCTAGAAAAGAGAGGAATGCTTGCAAGAAATAAATAAGTAAAAATAAATAAATGATAATGTGCATTGTTGGGCCAGTGACAAGAACGTGTGGAGCAAATAAGCCACAAGATAGGTGACAATTATGATACTCATGCACACCCTACAATGCTATTTGGTATTTATTTTTTGCAAGTTAGAAATCTTGAAAAATCTTATGCAATGTGATGATGCATCACAATATATTTTTAAAAGAAATATACATGGAATCCTTTGTGCACACCAACCTCAAGAACTTGTTATAAACCTCCTTCTTTAGTTCACCTTTCTTCACATACTTTTTTATTGATTAAAATTTATTAAAAATCCACAAATTTCATTTTATAAAAGAAAGTATCTACAGGAGTTTCATAAAATGGGTTCTTGATATAGTTTTTTTTATTTATTTAAGTGCTTAAATTTAAATAATATTCTAAACCCTAAAACGTTAAAATAAACAAAAAACCACCATTTATGTTTTTATATTAATAATAGCGTTTATTTAAAAAAGATTCAGAGTTTGTACCAGACATTTTACACCCTTAGACACTCAAGTGAGGTCCTCAATTTATTTAGATAATAAAATAATAAGTATCAATAATTATTTATACATTAAAATATCATATCTTCATTTTGTTAATAATTAAATTATTTACTTTATTTTTTTTCACATTCAACAAATAAATTAAAAAAACTAAGACGAAAACAAACAATTGTGTATTGGAAAGCAATATATGTTAGTGATTCAAAGCTATTTTTTCAATCAAATTTTTTTTACATGCATAGACATGAAAGACCTAGTTAATTGAATATATGAAAATTATGATTTAGATATTAAAAAAATGATAATTTTATTAAATTACAGCTAGTTATGAATTATTTGTTGTAAATAATAGTTTTAACATAATAGGTATATTTTATTTAATATTAATAATATGAAATGTCAATTTAAAAAAAAATCATGATTGGAAAAATAAAATATATAATTTATTACACTTAATTATTTTTTTTAAGTAATGGACTTACTTGATTTATTTTATGAAATATAAAAAAATTAAATTATTAAATTAAAAAAATGCACTTGAATTATTTCAATAAATATTATACATATATCTGTCGAATTTTCTGTTCTAAATCTTTATTATAAAAATATTAATTGATTATTGTATTTATTAATTTTATTAATAGTTAATTTTCATCGAAGAGTTGACTAATTGTGTCTAATGAAATTTCTCTTTTTAATTATGTTTCCATTTTTATTTATAATACTTCAACTCAAAACCTTATTTAAAAGACTATCAATTTATTGATATAATAATTAAAACATGATAATAAAGTGTACTTTTTTTATTTCTTCTATTTCACTATATAACAAACTGATCTGTATATAGCACATTTGCCATATTTTCTATTGATTCTGTATTACTTTTGCAAAAGATACATTTTCATTGTATATTATATTTTGAAAGAATTTTATCCATTATTATCTTACGTGTAAATGTCTTTACTTTTCCAAGAGACATATATAACCAAAAATTGTTAAATAGTTTCCATAAATTCATATATGAACTGATTTTGTTTTATTATATTTGCTTAATGATTACATTACGTTTTTCTCTAGCTTGTAATTTATATTATTCTTAGTATTTTTTTTTTATCAATGAAGATGTCACTTGAAACTTATTTTCTTATACACTTTAATTTTTTTAAAAAATTAACTAAAGTGGTGCATTTATTGATTATGAAAAATCTTAAAAGTACGTCATTTTAAAAAGAATAAAGGATGAAAATAGTAACTCATAAGTGTAATGATTATTGATTAGTAATGCATTTACCTGCTTGAATCTGATAATAATGAACTCTTTAAATAAGTACCAAAACTTATTTTTCATTTTAAGAAAACAATTATTTCAAGAAAAATAAAATTGTTTTCAAAACATGAATTTTTTCTTCTTTTTTTCATAAGAAATATTTTTGGATTTCTGAATCTTCCTTTTACGTAAAAAAAAAAATACCCTTTCCTTTTCTTTTCTTTTACATAATTTTTTTAATCTTTCTTCAAAATAGCAAACATAATTTCAAAAATTTTGAAAAATTTCTCTTTCTTTTATAATAAAATAGAAATTATCCTTTTCAATTTTAATCGTTTCCTTTTTCATGAATAAAAAATATATTTTCAAATTTAAAATATTATTTTTTATAAAAAAAAAAAGATTTTTCATGAAAAAAATTTTCCAATTATGAATAAATATACTACTTAAAATAAGAAAAATAATATTCATTTTCATAATTTTTTTTCTGCTAAATACATTGTATGACATATATTTGTTATTTTAGTTTATATGAAAAGAGAGAAGATTTTAAAGTTAGAAAGGAATATTTATTTATGTGAACAAATAAATTATTTTCACTTCAAAGGATATTTTAGACGAGAAAAGAAAAATAAAATCAAAGCCTTCAAAAATTCATGGATCTACCCTCATTTATTTTAAATTACAATTAAAAATATTAAATTTATCGTATTTTCCATTTCTTACATTTATATATTGACAATATTATTAACTGGACAAAATTATATATTAATATAAAATATTTAAACTTATATATTATTATTATTATTTACTTTTTATTTTTATTTTGATATGGGTCTTGAGTTAATTAATCAATTTACTTTAAATAGCGTATTTCCAACGGATTTTTATCGATAGATTTGTAGCCATCGGAAAATAATTATTATCGATGTAAATTACTGATGGATATAAAATATTTGTGGAATTTAATATTATCGACGGATATAAAATATTTGTGGAATTTAATGTTACTGATGGATATATCCGTGGTAAAATAATAATTAGTTACCAACGGATATATCCGTCGGTAATTTATAGATGAATATATTCATCGAGTAAATTCGTCGATAAATTAATAATTAATTACAGACTGGATATATCCGTCGATAAATTAACAATTATTTATTGAAGGATATTTCCGTCAGTAAATTAACAATTAGTTACCGACGAATATATCTCGTTGGTAAAATTATATAATAATTACTTAATATATTTTAATAATTTAATTATTCACCTAATTAAAAAATAAATATTTTTTATTTAATAATTTAATTTAATCATAATTAGATTAATTTATAATAATTTATTAAATTAAATAATTTTAAAAAATAAATATTTAATTATATATAAAAATATAAAAATATATAAAAATATATAAATATATTTGTATATAAATATAATTTATTTGTAAATTATTATAAAAAAAATTTAGTAGCTTAGTGGTTGGAGTATCAACCTCTAACTTTAAAGTACTCGGTTGGAATCCTTAGCGACTAATTTTGATTAATTTTAATATTTATTGTAGTGTTATCATTACATTTTAAATTTTTTGTTACTCGGTTGGAATCCTTAGCGACGAATTTTGATTAATTTTAATATTTATTGTAGTGTTATCATTACATTTTAAATTTTTTGTTAGTCGATAAGTTAGATTTTTAATAGAATAATAATATTTTATAATTCATTTTTATATGTAATCACTTAATAACTCTCTTATAAAATATAATAATAAAAAAATATCATATATATCGAAAAAAATGTGAAAACACATATTTCCTCCATACAATCATAAATAATAATAAATAATATTATTATAATAATATTCAGTTGACAGGTATTTTTGACAACAGTAGTTATGAAAATATTATTTCTCTAAATAAAAATAGTTGTTAAAATAATTTTCGTTTTTCTAACCCATGAAAAAAAACCCTAATTTTTTTTTTATTTTTTAAGATCAGGTTAGGTGTTGGTTCAGAGCCCATCTCTAAAACTAAATGCTTGTAAAACGGTTGAATTTTTTAAAACAAATAAAAACATTAAACACACCAAAATTTGAAAGGAGTACATGAACAAACATGCTCCATGCCCAAATAAAGGAAAACAAACTCAATTTCTCCTTTAATTGAAAAGTAAAATTAATAACTGAATTGTTTCTGAATAAAATTACTTAAAATTTATCAAAAATATATAATGTATAAATTCAGTCTGTGTACTTTAATATAATATTTTATTTATTGTATAATCATATTTTTGTATGGTGATTTCTATTCATGATGGAGCCTATAAATATTTTAATAGAAAGTAATGAGAATAAATAAATTAAATAGTTTATAAGTAATATAGAGTAGTTTATTTTTTTATTTCATCCATTCAAATTATATAATACAGTTCAGTTCAATTGATGTGAATAATTAATTAGAATTTCTTAAATGTTTAATTATTAATTGATGTGAATATTATAGATTTCTAATGAATGTAGATATTGATAGTTTAAAAATTTAAAATTGAATTTTTCAAATTCATTTTTATCCAATTTTTTTATCTACTAAACCTAATAATCCACTCAAATTCATTTTTTTTCTTTAAATTGGGTAAAAAATATTAGATGTTGATGAAATTGGACTGGATTTCAAGCTTAATTATCATATAATGAAAATATATTAGAAATGGAATAAAAAAGATGAATAATTTTTTGAGTTGATTATAAATTACATTATGCGTAAACTTAAACTGTTAATATGTATTTATTAACTATTATAATATTAATTGTGCGAGTGTGATAATATTATAATATTTTTTAAATTAAAAAATTGATTGTATCTTTTTTATTAAGAGTGAAATTAAATTGAATAAAATAAATGAATACTAAAATAAAAATGTAGGTAAGATTACAAATACCACAGCCAATGTAAACTAAACATTGCAAGCTTTCAGAGGATAGTTTAACCAGACACATGAAATTCAATATTTTTACTACAGAAGCTTAACTGAGTGGTTTGGAGACAAAAACATAGGATTGGAGATATTCTTATTATTGAGAGAATATTTTTACATCACATCAACTACATTACAGTTGTTAAAGTTTAACACTCTGGATTCTACTATTTTAGTCAGTCCAGCAGAAACAGCTAAATCAACACAATGGAATTCATAGCTAATATAAAAATGCAGAGAAGAGAGAAATGAATCTTTTGGTCGAATATTGTAAAGGCGAAGCCAATGAGATTTATGGAAATCATGCCGAACTAAATAAAGAAAACTGAATTTCTGATCATGATCATTAGACAGGAAAACTAAAGCATTCTTTTAGCTCATTATGAACACAAAAATTACAACAAAAGCAGGGTTTGGTCCTACAAGAATCCCTCGAATCTAAGGTATGTAATCATTTTCAATCGTTGGTCTTGTGCGAGTCCCCACTGCTAGTGGTGCTTTGGTGCCCCCAATGGATGCCATATGCAAAGTTTCATTGCTCTCAGCTGCCCATTCCAATTGCTGAATCTTCATCCCTTGTTTGGTTCTCCTCACTTTAGCAATCAATAGACTCAACATGACCAACAAGAGGCATCCTCCAACAAATGATGCAACAATTATCCACACCATGTACTTGCTCCTAGTGCCCCCTTTCCCAACATCAGCAGCCACAGCAACAGCGGCAGGTGCTGGGGATGGGGCATTAGACTCCACAACAATAGAGAAGTGCCCTTGTTGGACTGTTGAACAGACATTACCATGTGATAGGATGTCAAATTGAACAGAACCATGTAGATCAAAGTACACACACTTGGGCACTGATCCTGATGGTGATGGTTTTACATGAGGGAACTTGATCAAAATTGGCTTATCAGAAGCTCTAATATCCAATTCAGGCAGCTCAGAAGCAAGTAAATTGGCACCACTGTATGTCATTAGACCCAAAACAGGAGCTAAATAAGAGTAACCAGGCAAAGGGTAAAACTTCTCAGACCAATTGCCCAAGTTGTGGTACACCAAAACAAGCCTTTCCACATAAGGTTGTTCAACCACTCCAATTGGGATCTGAAACTCTTTGTACCTTTCAACACCTCTGGTCCTCAAACTACCACTCCTAAGCCTCATTGCTGAAACTCTAATCCCAGTAAGGCTTCTGGGCACTTGGACATCATAGGGCACCCCAGTTTTTGGCCTAAAAAATGCCTTAAAGGCGCAATCTTGAAGAATGGCATCAAGGGTCCGGGATGAGATTTCAGTATCAGGTGAAAGCTGAGAGCTAGAAAATGACAGAGAAAGAAGCAATGGCAACAATGAGAACAGCAAAATGGTTCCAAACCTCATCAAGATCTCATTCGTTCAGTCAAAATCAAACCAAATCCCCAAGAATCTAACACTGAAAGACACAGCCAGACTAAGACACGCAAAGAATGCAACACAGAGAGAGATAAGCGAGAGACTTTACAGTTTAAACCACACAAAGTGACCAAAAAGTGTTGACCATTCTGTTTGTGCAATCTCCAGATACCAATGGTTATAGGGAAAACGGCAGCAACCCCACCCCAAGAACCAAAAATCAGATCTTTCAGGGGACCAATGGCTGTGATGTGGTGGTTGTAGGGAAAATCTTGAAATTGTACTGAGATTCAAGCAAAATGGGCGAGGCTTGTTCCACAATCTGGTTGAAGGAGGAAAATGGTGGTGAGGAAAAAGAAAATGGATTCAGACAAGCAAGGAAAATTAACAAATTGGTAAAATAACAAGTGAGAATCAGCGTACGAATATCAAGTGAGAATCAGGATATGTAGGGGCTTTGACGTTTGAGATTGGGAGGGGAGATACTCATACTCACACTCACACTAATGAACATGTTAATGTGCTGATGCATGCACATTTCTCCTTTCTGCTATTTTGTTTTGTTGTGTTTCATGGATCCTAATTTACCCTATTTTAGATTTTACTTGGTATGTTTTTATGTTTATCCCTATTTTATGGCACCTTTTTATCCGTGATTTCAAATATCTTCTCTATATATTTTTATTTATTTAAATTTCATTATAATTTTTCACTATTTTACTTTCTGTCAGGTAATCTAAGGAAGAATCATTGTATTACTTTTTAGTAGAATTAGATATTTCCAAAATTATACAGTCAAGAGTTTTTAAGATTGTGAATTAAATCCAGATAATAGATACAGGAAATCCACGGCGAAAAAGTAGGGTAGAAAAGGTGAAAACATTACAAATTGGGGTGTCAAATCAAGAAGGTACAAAGCATGTGAAGTTGTTCTGTAGGAAGAGGTGAAAAAATAGCTGGTATTTGCAACTGTAATTTAATGGCATTATTATGATGGCACACAGATACTAGTCAAAGCCACAACTAACTTCCTGTCTCAGTGGGTTCTTCAACTGCCTAATTAGGAAACAAAGGATGTGACAAAGTTTTGTCATAAGCATTGAACATTAATAAAAAGTTAATGTGGAATTTAATTTTAAAGTGCAGACAGTTATCATAAACAGCAACAAAGCTGGTATTTTTTCTTTAAAACTTTATTCTTCAGATAATTTTTTTTTTTACATAATGATTATATATTTTATTTTCTGTTTTTCTTTTCACTGTTGATTTTTAGTTACGTATTGGACGTTAAAAATGGCAGTTTTATTTACGCCTTTTTTGCTTTCAGGCGTAGAAAGTTTAGAAATTAAGAAAAACGCCAAAAACTGTTAAGATTACGGTTTTATTTCCAATTGAATGCGTTAAAAACACAATATTCAGTATGAAGTTTTTTATAAGACGCTAGAAAAATTTATAAAAAATAATAAATAAAATTATTAAAAATATATTTATTTTACTTTTCACTTATTTTAAACAATACCACGTTTTATTTTCTTTTACTCTATTTTCTTCACTCAAATTCACTTCTCAAGTAAAACTTTAGAAAACATACTATTTAAAAAATTATCGTTCATAATCAATCAACATTCAATTTTCTTTCAAGAATATCTTCATAACCATAACGTTGTGTCATGCCTTTTCTTTTATGGATTATTAAATATTTAATTTTCTTACTTTCTTTATTAAATATTTATCGTATATATAATTGACCGGTAATTCGTATTTCTGTGAAAACCAAAAATTGGAAAATATTTGGTGGATCATCAATACATAAATACTGATGGAAAGAAAAAGGAAGACGTAGCAAATGCCTTAACAAAGAAGAGAAAAGTTTTTTGAACTAATATTTTCTCTAAGAGAAATAATAATAATAATAATAATAATAATAATAATAATAATAATAATAATAATAAATTTAAATAAGTTAAATTAACAATAATTGGGAAGGTGGTCCACCTGCCAACGAAAACTGGGTCCGGAAAACTGTGAATTGGAAAAGAACACACGTGAATCTGTGATAACAAATTTTCAGTAAAAAGCAGAGTGATAACCGAAACTCGACCCTTGTCTTGAGCAAATAGTGACTTGAACAAATTTGTCAAACAAAGGTTTCTCCATTGACACGCCCCCCTTTTTTGGCTTCCATAATATATATTCAATTAAAAGAAATACGAGTTAATATAACATTAACATTTTCCGAATGATAAAAGAAATACGAGTTAATATCAAACGTAAACAAATTGTAATTAAATATAAACTACATTTTTTATTCGTGGGAAGTTTCCTAACTTCGTACATAACTCTTTATTTTAAGATTTGGATCTGTTTTGCTTGCTGTATATCCTAATGAAAAAGCGATCCACTGACACCCAATAAGCATTTTTCAAATATTATAAGCTTTTACTGTAAGTTGAAGAAGACTATAACTTCACAAGTTTATGTTTTCGGTTAAACTTCAAACCCAGAAGCTCAAGAAGTTTCAAAGTCAAAGGTCGCAAAGAGGCCGAGGGAAAATATGGCAAGTGTGTAGAGAAGGTTCTTACGAGGCCTGTGCTGTTTGAAGGAGATTTGGCGAGAGAATGATTTGGTAAAGTAATGTGCATGTGGTAGATAAAATTAATTATAATTGAATTTTACATAAATACCAATCAATGAGCATTAAATATAAATTGATGACAATATGAGAAATAAAATTAGACAAATGATACAGCATGATACAAGAATTTTGGTCATGTATTGCTTTTCAGGCACTTGCTGACATAAGTAATGTATGCTGATATAATGAAAAAATAAATAAATAAAACCCAAGTTACACAATATAAGGTTAAGGTGCAAAATTACATCAAGGTAATGTCACCCACGATAAATGAAACGAGCAGCATATAAACAATAACAACTAAAGAAGCATATCAAAAGTTGTGCATCACCAATTTAAAAGACGAATTTCATGTTATTTTGCATCATGTCCTGTAATAGAAGAGATACTTCTAGTGGCTTCAGAACTCCGTGAGTCCTTTACAGTCACCTCACAACTCTTTACATCCTTTCCACATATGGTAGATGAGATGTCTCTTGTTAATTCTGAAGTCATGCCAAGGATGGGTTCTGGAGACTGTGATAGGGAGGTTGTGGATGGAGCAATAGAATCCAGGGATATATTAGGCACTTGGGGAAGGTTAAGAGGGTTAACTTCAGTGACTTCTTCATTGCTCTCGTCGAAGTAGACAACATCCTGCATTGTAAGTTGATGATATTCAACAACCTCCCTTAGAAAGCGATTCTCACGGGCATAAACTGAGTTCTCGTGCGCCAGGCGAGCTTTTTCAGCAAGAAGAGATTCAAGTTGAAGGCGTATCTATAATGAGAATTAAAATAAAAGTAAGTTCACAACACATTTTCCGTGAGGACTCAACGCGAGCTAATCTGATAATCAAATCAATTGAATTACATATGCACCAAAGCTCAGAAGAACTCAAATTTGCTTATCTAAATTTGGGTAAGATTTTTAGTTCCTTTATCTGAATGTGGGGAATAGGGTGAGCAATAGAAGTATTTTAAAAAAACATAACCAATAGATAAGAGGAAAAGTACAAGGGGAAGGATAATATCGGTTGGGGTCCACAAACAATAAGTGTACTTGGAAACCTATATTGTTTAATAAAGTTAAATAAAATATGTATTAACCCAACCATCAAATCATATGATAACTACATTGATAACCTGGAATATGAAGTAGAACATGTATATGCATACAATCAAATGGTCAACAAATACTCATATTATGCGTTATGATTAAATGAGTGTCAAAGTATTAACGAAATTTTATCTAAAATTTAGTATGTATGATAATTAAGAAACATATAGGATAATTTGGGTAAAGATTGGTCAGGATTTTAGTCACCACTAACAATTATATCCCATTATCCTTTCTTGAAAATATGACGTGACTTGACATGACACAATGCATGCAGAATGGAATGGGCAATGTTAAATTATGTATGTCACCATCTAGACCAGTCATCAACCCAACATGTTGGGCTGATGGGTTCAGTCACTTCAATGGACTAACAAACACGCAATTATTTCAAAATAGAAAGATAAAATTAACTTCAATGGGCTGATTGTTGTCATGTTGCCAACTCAACTTGGTTAAAAAAAGTAATTAGGCATGGACACTTCGCCCTAATTGTTGTAAACAAATTAGTATGTGGGCCAATCAGCATCAGCCGTTTCAGCTAAACTGTAAACTAGATGGGCTTGGATAAAAGAAATTGCCATCAAAGAGACTGTTAAAAACATAATTAATGGTATATATTTGAGCAAACGTCTAAAACAAACATAAGAACTTCTAGAAAAAAAATAATTAAAAAACGATTTAAATGAACTTCTCTATAAACTAAAATTATCTTACACACAGGTTAAAAAATAAAATTTTAAGGAAACTATGAGAGTTTCTACATATTAACTTATGCATAAGCTAATTTAAATTATGGAAAAACTCATGTCAACTTTTTTTTCCAGGAAGTCTTTATGGGGAAACTTGTCCAAATAAACCATAAATGTTTTACTTTTAGATATTGTTCGGTTGCGAGAAAAGGGGAGGATGGAAATAAAATAGGATGTTTGGTGAGAGAAGAAAAGTGAAGACGTCATTTTAAAAAATGATCAAACTAATTATACTATTTCTCACCTATTTTTACATATCTCCTCATTTTTTCTTCTTTATTTTTCATCAAATTCTACTCTACCAACTTATGCTCTCCCTCTCTCTCTCTCTCTCTCTCTCTCTCTCTCTCTCTCTCTACACAAGGCTTGTGGCCTGCACGGGGATCCACCCTGTATGCACAATGTCAGCTGCTAAAATCTTTACAGTTGATCCATAGGGTCAAGTTGAATTTAAGCTTTATAAAGAATGAAACTTACATAAAACTTGAAGTCTAGCAGGTAAAAGGGTCAGCAATCATCCAAGAATAATTCTAACAAAATGACAACTAGAAAATAAGCAGGCAGCAATATAACTAAAGTAGTATCATAAGTTTAAACCCCTGAACGTATATCATAAAATTAAAAATAGCCAACCAATGCACAAGGCTTCCAGTGATATAGGGTTTAAAGTGGGTTAAATAAAAGTGGTTTTATCCTTGAGTGCCGAGAATTTAAGGAGCAATAACCATCATGTCATACAAGCCATAATATAATTCATAACAGAAACAAAAGTAATAGCTAACCCTGCTCACAAAATTAGATTACAAAAAGGGGACACATCTATTATGGAGAGAAATAAATATGTGAAACGAATATCAGATGATAACCTTCTGTATATCACTGAAAGATGCATGAAAGGACAACTAATGAAATTGAAAAACCAAAAGGATAAAAACGGACAATGAGACATGCATACCAAATCATCATCATCGTGGCTATCTCCCCTTTCACGATTCTCGCGGAGGATTTTATTTTCTTCCTCTAGCTGAGCACATCGATCCTTTGCAAAAGCCAGATCAGCTTTGACAGTCTTCAACTCCCGAAGAAGTAGTTTTGCTTTGGCAGCCATAGCCATAGCAACCTGTGACATAAACCAAAATGCAAACAATGCATCCCATTAAAAAGTTTAAGATATATCATAGCTGGTAAATGATATCAACTTCGTACCATGCTAGGAATAATTCAGGCATAAACTATGATATATTTTGATCATGAAACAACACGGGAGATCACCTTATTTTTCCTTTGGGGGATGGGGGATATATACGTCAGGAATATTAAACACGATATTTTATCTTAAAAAACACGCACAAAAGGAATTACAAAAATAATCATGTATTGTTGACAGTATCCAACAGATGGTATATAAGAATAGTAAAGGCAAAAGAATGAGTTGAGAGAAACATGAAAAGTAACACCAAAGTATTAATTTGGCATTACTCTTGCTTCATCTTTAATGACCATAAGATTGACCTAAGAAAATTATGGCCATGTGTAGGCTTTACGGCCACAAATTTTTAATAAATGCTATAAGTTTGAAAATTAATTTTGTGGAGATTGAATTAGTGATTAGAACTTAGAAGGTGAGATAGATATATTCAATGGAAACTAAGGGCATTCGAATCATTATGAATTTGACTATCTATATTCAAAGGTAGCAAACAATTATTACCCAGATTGGGGGGTAAGGTTCCATATTATATACAATGGGAGGTTTAACATTTAAGAAAAAAACATCATTAGCTGAAGAGTTCACAAAACAAGTTCATATGTGAGAAACACAAAACTGTTGGTGGTGAAAATTAATTCTTACAGAAAAACTAGCTACTGCATTCATAAATTAATTGAATAATGATCATTGAAAAACTTAAAAATTCTTACACATTTCCTAATACAATTTCAACTGTCTCTAAGCTCCATATATTTAAAATAAAAATAATGAATTATGTAAAATTTTCATTAATTGGTAAGAAAGAACCAATTCAGATTTGACAGTCCAGCATTCATAAAGATGTGTGATCCAGGTTCTAAATACAAGAAAAGAAAAATGGCTGCCTTCTTTTGGCACACTTGCACTCCTTAACCGCAAAAGTCAGGCAACAATCCATCTAGCAAGGCATATTTAACAAATACCTATTCTAGTTTTTTTTTTTAAAACAAACAAGAAAATATACAAAAATATAGTGTTATAAATAAGGACATTGGATTTGTTTGAGATGGTTATAATTATACTGCATGAATATGAACCACAAGAACCTATGTTTGTGATTTGTTTGAGGTGGGTTACTCCACAAAGTGCATCTGATTTGTAATTTAGAATTTTAATAGATAAAAAGATATTCAATGTGTAATAAATGTGTGTGTTTTCATATACTTTGATTTGAATTTTGCCGAGTGACTGTCTTTATATCATGTACTGATTACCATGAATCGTAAGATGGAAGCTTCAACAAATAGACACATTCAAAATTGTCCACCTTTAATCATATCTCAATTATTTGATTGACTGAATCTGATCAATTATTTGATTAACTGAATCTGAAAAAGCAAAATTCTTACAAAAAAAAATAAAATTATTCAGTATATTTTAAAAACATAGAATAAAACAGAAAGAGAAAATGGAGCTAGAATGTTGACACTTTTGATGCTGCACAAGTTAACCACACAAGTACTTTTACCACATGAAAAAGTGATACACAGTTGCCACCTTACGTCGCGAGATGCCTTCAGTTGAAGTTCTTGGTCTGTTTGCCTTGGTGACATCTGGTTTCGCAGTTGGGATTGTTGATGCAGTGTACTAGAATGGTTTGTCTCCTGATTTTGTCCTACAAAGTTTCCAGGCTTCTTCCTGATATGTTTACGAGTTTCCTGAATGATATCTGAAGTCCGGTTCTCAACAATCGTTAAACCTTCCTACACAAGTGAGTTAGCATATGTGCTAAGAAAATCACAACACATCGTTTGGGAAATTTGAAATTTGTAGTTGAAGCCTGACGAGATATAATATAACCAACAGCCTACTATAATACATTCCCATCCCTATCTACATAAGCTCATAAGGCAAATGCATAGTAAAAAATCTAATGACACACGCCATCCTGATCACAACTAAGAATTCTAAGATACATTAAAATATCTAATACATTTTGAAAGATGGAAGACACCAAGTAAAGAAAATGTTTATAATTAAACGATAGAAATATAAATAAGCAAAAATGTTCATATGAAAGCTCACCTCCAAAGATTTACCAATGGTACCACCAATATGAGTAAGAGAAGATGTGATAGCATCTAATCCCTTCATAAATGCTGGACTGTCCCTTTTAAGATTGTTCTCCTCTAGGTGATTTGAATTTTGGAACTACAAAGAGAATGACAATCGCATCCAATTTTAAAGTTCATAATATTACGAACAAGCAGCTCTTACAAGCCCAATAAAAGACTATCACAAAAATTCAAATTCAGAAATTTGAAGCGTATATGTATCCAATTACCCCTCTTTGGTGTTCTGCTAATAGTTATTTGTTATCTCAGTAGAGTTGCCATTTCTAACACGGACACAGATTGGGCAGTTTTGCAGCAAAAATTTTTCTTATACTCTAATGTACTTGTTAGGATTCCTAATCCATCTTCTATTAGTACTTCCCCTTCTTTCATTTTATCCACTATTGATAAACCTACTAAAAAGCAAATATATACACACACACACGCACACATATAATTAGATAAAGCATGTTTACCATCAGTTGGGTTATACAAAACAATATCTCTGCTGAGAATGAGATATAATTCTAAACTCACCTTGCCCCGAGATGCTACACCAGGCAATTGTGACCTTCCCGCTCCAGGCATTTCAGATTGCTCGGGTATATTATCATCCTCGATAATGGACTTGGCTTTTCTGGCCAGAACACCCCAAAATCCATTCTTGGACTCGTTCATGTTCTTCATAGATGTATATTCATAGGGTCTTGAATCCTATATATACAGCATCACATTTACATTTAATACAATGACTACCATTTTGAATTGACATGATGATACATTCAGCTAAATCCAAAGAAAACACATTAAAAGAAATAGAAAAAGTAAGCATATCTAGAAATAAATTTCCAACCTTCAAAGCTTCACGCTAAAATAAAATCAGTATTAGCTCTAAGTGATAGACAAAATTTGGAACTGGAATTATACAGTCAACAACAATTCAAAGAAGCAGCTGCCTTAATATGCGGGCAAAAATCTAATAAAATAATGAACCAAACGAGGGAAATTATACAAAAGATGAGAAGGCACCCTTAGAAAAATACAGAGCTATACAAAAACACTGCAATCCTTACGATCAAAAGTTGCTGATATGAGGTACTCAGAGATTTGATGTTGACGGCGTTTATATACACCAGGTTTTGACTATTTTGCTAAAGTTGACATCACTTTCACACTCTGCCCATATTGCAACTGCAATATGAAACTGAAAGATAACATCCTGTATGCTACACTACACAGAAGTAACACGAACCCTGGAATGTAATGCGACACTTGCAATTGCAAATATAATAGTGTGCCATCGACAACTACCTCACAGCATCCAAACACAGTGCTGGTCTTTAACTGGCATAGGAATAGTTCTCACTTTCGTACTAGTATTTTAAGAGGATTTCTTTAACACATCCATTGGCTCAGTTTTTGAAGCTCTTTCAAACTAAACTAGTCTATTTTCCATTGCTTCTTCTCCATTTAAGGTTTGTTTAATTTTCTTCTTCTTGACAAATAAATATATAATAAACCCTATTCAGCAGAAACCTATAACCAATAAAACACAACACAGAAACAAGAGAGTATACTCTGCATCCATCGACTCTTCATATTTTCTAGAGAGAGAGCGAGAGAGGGACCTTGGAGGAAGGAGGAGGAGTTGGAATGGGTTGAGAAGGAGCTGTCGGAGAAGAAGCAGAGGAGAGACCGTAGAGAGAGGACAGAGAAGAGTCGCGACGCGCTGAAGAAGCTCTGATAGCTTTCGCAGCAAGTGAAGACGAGGACGAAGACGAAGCTGAACCTTCAACGGCGTCGTTCGGCGGCGGAAAGGGGTTAGGGTTTCGAGAGGTTTCGTCTTCGAAGGTAGAAAACGAAGGTTTCGAAAACCCATGCTGCTGTCTCCGTCTATACGCCATCGAATCTATCCACCACGATTTTCTGGATCCAACGATCGCTGAAAAAAAATAAAAACACAAAGAACAAAACAATTCGCACTGGAAATTGACGGAACTGGCGCTACCGCCACTGCCACCGAGTCAGCGTTACCGAAAACTGCTTCCGTCCTGGAATCCGGATCCGATCGCTAACCACCGCCGGAACACTGTATGTTTATGTGTGTGTATGCGCAGTCAGTGACAGCATTTATCGAAATAAATTTATTTTTAATGTAATAAAAAAGTGGGATATCAGTGTCTGCGTCCCCCTCTTTCTTTGTCTCTAGTGCTTCACCTGATATTTAGGGATAAAGCATATTTTATTCTTTTACTATCTAAGAGTGGTTTTAGTAGGAAAAAAATAAAAATAGAATAAGTCAACAAAAATTAGTAAAAAATAAAAATGATTTGACTTTTTTTACATTTGATTTTTTTTATAATCTCTATAATAAAAAAGGAAAAAACAATAAAAATAATTTAATTTATTATAATTATTTAATTTAATATAAAAGAACACAACAATTAATATTAAAATAAAATAAATATTACAAATATTTTTTTTATAATCTCTATTTTATTAAACTAAAAATTAACTATATTTTCAGTAATAAAAATTTGCTTCTACCAATATTTCAAAAAATGAAAAGATATATTTACCCTATATTTTATATGATACAATTGTGTAAGATATATTTACTACTATTTCAACTTATTTCTAGTCACTCAAGTCGTAGAATTTTTCTTCAATGCTATCTCATTTCTAACCAACTCCTCTATTTTTATCTCATTTCAATTTCTATCATATGTCTAGTATCCATCAGGTGCAGTATCAGTCATGTTACTGTACTTTTTTTACTAATTTTGTTTATACTTTTTATTATTAATCTAAACTAATTTTTATTTTAAGTTTATTTTAATAAAACTACATTAACATTTAAATACCTTTCATATTATTACTTAATCACATATTCTTACAATCATAATTAAAAATTATATTTAATATCATTTTTAAAATAAATATTGTATGACAAAAATTACAATAATGTATGATAATAAAGGTGTTTATTATAATATATAAAAAATTATGATAGTTTTAATTTATAATCTTATTAATAATAATAATAATAATAATTAGACAAGAATAATAATAAATATATAAATGATAATAAAAAAATAATAATATAAAATTTAATTATATATAAAATATATTTCGAATTTATTAAAAAGTGAGTTAAATATGTATTTTTATATAAAAAAAATCAACTATCTTAGTTAAAATCAATAATAAAAGCAATAAAATAATTTATTATTTTATACTAAATTAAGTACATAAAATTAATACTAGTATTGCAGTAAAATAATATATATATATATATATATATATATATATATATAAATACATTATATATTATTGTTTATTTAGTAATTGTTAATAATAACATGTCCCTACATATTAGAATGATCAGTTGCATAATGATAATATGCACAATTAAATGTTTATAATTGATTATAATAAAAAAAATATGTTTAAAGTTTCCTAAATAATTATTCTAATACAGTTAATTTAATTATGATAGAACAAATTAATTATATTTTATATAATAAAAATTGTTAAAAAAATATAATCATCACATCAATTTTCATATTCACATGTGAAAATATTGTGTCATCATTTTTAAATTTATATATATATATATATATATATATATATATATATATATATAAAAGAAAAAAAACGTATACGTAATAATATATTTGATAAAAAATAATAATCACACCAAAAATGTCAATAAAAATCTCATCAACAGTAAAATGTTTGTCTACATTTTCTGTATTATTCTTATTATTTTTTTAAATATATATTCTTAAGTTTTTATTTTATTTTTTAAAATATATTTTTTAAGATTTCTATTTTATTTTTTAGTCATACTCACATTCTTTTCATATTATTATTTTTTTCTATCATCTTATATTTGATAAAAATATTATTATACTTAAATGATGATAAAAATTTATTAAAAAAACAATTTCTAATATAGGTAATAATTTTTGTAAAGAAAAAAAACCCAACTTTTCATAAACAATCATCATTTATTTAAAAAATATATTGAAATTCATGAAAAAATTTGTTAAAAAGATGATTATATCATATTTTAAATTTAATTTGATGAAAAAATCTATAAAATTGGGGAAATGTTAAAAAGTAATCATAAGTTAAATAATGTTATATTCGTAAAAGTTTTTTTTTTTTGCATATATACTAAATTTAAGTTGATCTACAAACATCCAACTCTTTTGTAAACAACTTTTTATTTTGTAAAAACAGCTTAAAGTACTAGAAAAAAGTTTCAAAACATATGATTAAGTTAATTTGACATTTTTTATTTAAATATCAAATAAATATATTTCAAAATTAATTCACTTAAGAATAATAAGTACATATAATTTACTTATTAATCTAATAAATATTTTTTAAAATATTGTATAATTAAACAAATAAAAATGTAAAATTATAAAAATACTGGTTGAATTATTCTATATAATTTATTCAAATAATATTTTTAAAAATATAATTTTTTAAATTATTTTTTTCCTTTTATTTTACACAATTATCATGATTTAAGAAAGGGATTATTTTTATTGTACTTTTATTTTATTTTTATTTTTTAATTTTTTTATTATTTGATATATTTTATTATATTTTGTAATGATATAATATTTTTAATATAAAAATATATTATATAAGTTAAATAATTTTTATAAATATTCATTTTTTACGATAGAATTTCTTATATTTTCTCTAAACTCAATAAACTGATGGAATTTAGATCATAAATGATAGGAAAAAAATCTCAAGTTATAAAAATGGATTATAAAAAAAATATAATTTTGAAGAAGTTATTTCTTCTATTTTATAGTTTATTGTTTATAAGTTTAAAGAAAAAAAAATTTAAAGTATGATATATTTTAGTTATGCGCGTGTTATTTAGGTTTTGAAATTAAAGTATTGACTATAGATTATTTATATATATATTTATTTATTGTGGATAAGTTAGGATTTTGGAATATCTAAGATCATTATTTAAGTAATAGTATATTTAAAAAGGAAAAAAAAAATATATATATATATATATATATATATATATATATATTTTATGGTATGTTAAAATGAAAGCAGAAAGAAAAAATATATTTATGTTATTTTTGTGATATATGACATTTTTATTGTTGTTGTATAAAATAAGGTATATTGTTAGGTATTAGGATGATTCAAGTAAGATCTATATCGCTTAAGCGATGATAGATAAAAGAAAGAGGTAGTCCAAGGTGGTTGTAGTTCATTCAAGTGAAAGGTCCTACAGTACATTACTGGTTAATGAAAGACTTCAAGGATTGAGAGACTATTTTTCTGATATAATTTCTCGCTTAAGTGAGACATATGTCATAGAATTGTCTGCAAGTAAGAAAATAATATGTATGATGAATTATAAAGATGATATAGTGGTGTTATTAGCGTAATTATTTTTTTATAACAAATCCTATTTTTCTTTTTTTGTATTATTTTTAGTTATAACAGATTCTTTCATTCTTGTTCTACAATGTTATATATACACCCTGTTTGTACACCTTTTGAGCGTGAAATTTTCTTAATAAAAATAAATGAATTTCTTCTTCCATTCTTACGACGTTCGAACCATATATTGACTTTCACAATAATCCCTAAAATCTCTTCTTTCTTCCTTTCAATGAAAATCTTACTCTCATTCTTGTCTCCACCTTGTTGGATGACAAGAATTATCACGTCTAGACCCGCGCCATAAAATTTGCTCTCAAATCTAAGAATAAGTTGAAATTCGCCGATGACACTCTCTCCGAACCATCATCAACTAGCCATCTTCATGAACCTTGAGATTGTTGCAACATAATGGTTATTTCTTAGATCCAATGATCGTGCATGAATTCATTCTTAAATTCATTATCTGGATCGAACATACTTCCGACGTTTGGCAAGATTTGTATCATCGCTTTCATGAAAGACATATTTTTCGTATTGCAGATTTACAGAAAGATTTATTCAAACTACACTAAGGTATTCTTTCTATAAATGAATTTTACAAAGAGTTACATATTTTTTGGGAGAAAATCGATAGTTTTCGTTCCTTTGTTAACTATTTATGTACTACTAACTATTCTTGTGATGCTCTTGATTTTGTCTGACGCTATAAGGAGCAAGATTATGTCATTCGATTTCTGAAAGGCCTCAATGATCAATATGCCTCTGTACGATATCAGATTATGTTAATCGATCCACTTCTTGATATTACCAAAGTTTTTAACATGGTTATCCAACAAGAACGTCAATTACATTTTGTTCTTAGTTCTTCTGAAATTGTTCTTGATTCCCAAGCCCTAGCTGCTTCTACTTCTCTGAATTTGCAGTCCAAGAATGATGATGTTTCTAACTTGAATCTTTTCTATAGAGGATGAGGCAGAGGTCGTTTCTTTCCAAGGAGTCATGGAAGAAATAATAGAGGGAGAAGTTCTCATGGTAATAAATTATGCACTTATTGTGAACACACAAATTACACAGTGGATACGTGTTATTTCAAACATGATTTTCCACCAGGATATAAAAATTGCATGATCAATAATGCCGTCTTTGGTGTTTTACCATCTGACCATATTACTACCAACGTCTCCAATTTTCACGAGATCTCACGGTCAGTGCTTAAATTTATTAAAGAGCAGTATCATGACATTCTAACTCTTTTGCAACAATCAAAATCCCCTACGCATATAGCAGTATCATGGGATTATACATGTTGAATTTGTCTCACTCTTATCACAACCATCATCTTGTTTCTGCTTAATGACGGATCTTGACCATTGATTTTAGGAGGGCAAATAATATATTATTAATAAATAATAAAAAAATATAAAAGGGTGAAAGAAGATGAAAGGTTGAGAGGATAAAATTGTAA